AAATGAATTAATATTATTTATATATTTAGATATTGCTTTAACTAATTCACAAAAATCAGTACGTGAACTTAAATTAGCACTTGCTCGTCTTATGAATTTTATACAAACATCTAGTAAGATATTTATTATAAATTTCAAATTTAATATTTATCATTTTCTTAATTTTTAGAAATTCAAATTCCAACATCTCTTCATATTCGACCGGTTCTTAAAGCGCATGATATAAATGATGGTAAGATTAATATTTCATTTTGAAAATTGTTCTAATATCATTTTTTATTTAGATTTCTTAGAAGCCGAAGGTGAATGGATTCGTAAACCAGTGAAAAAAGTATCTGTAAGTTTGAAACAAAAAAATTAATTTCATTGTAAGTTTTTTTTATCTATTTTGTAGAAACCGGTTATTCATCAAACTGACAATGACGATGATGATGATGACGATGATAATAACGGTGATTTTATTGACATTAGACATACTGTTGAACCTCAACCTCAACCTGCAGATCAATCTCAACCTGTAAATATAACTAATTCATCAGTAGATATTATTGAAGAACCTTCAAAATCTTCGTCACGTCAACAAAAGAAAAGAAAAGAACTACCAAAAACAAAATCTACAAAAAAATCTTCAAAACAAAATCGTCGACAAAACGATGTATCCATAACAGAAAATCCATCAATAAAATTAGATGATCTTGCTAATGAACTTGAAATTGCTTTATCACAATCTTATCAACAACAACCACAACAACAAAATACTCATCAATTAGTTTCTTGTCTTAGTGATGATGATGATGAAGAAGATAAAATACAAAAGTCAGATAATCAATCATTATCAATGCCTATGTTTAGTCCTATTAGTTTACAACCATCAATAATAAGTTCTACAATATCAATAATAGATAAACCAACGAAATCGATTTCAAATGCTTTATGTTTCTTTAGTGATGATGAAAATGTACAAGAAACATTATCACCTATTATTGAACAACAGTCAATATCTACTTCATTACACGTTGATAGTATTACTCCAATGGATATTGAAACATTCGAGAAACCAACAAAATATATGTCATTTCTTAGTGAAGATGATGATGATGATCATAATAATAAATCACATACATTCATATCAACTTCGTTTACTAAACAAAAATCTATTAATCAAGAATATATTTCTTCGTTAGATTCTAATCAATCAATTATCAATAGTGATAATTATAAATTACAATCGACAGATAAACAATTAATAACTCATATTTCTGCAACTGATGTATTACAACAATCTTTATCATCTATTGAAGATTTATCATCAAACAAACAAATAGAAACAATCTCTGAAAATTTTCAAGATTCGTTATTAAATGATAAACAACAAACAACATCATCCAATATTGTAAATACTCTTGATTCAAATCGTATTCAAATTGTTTTGCGTTTATTAAATGTTTTAACACAAATACCAGTACCATTGAAACCATTACGATTGGTTCGCCGTCGTATTCGACAAAAAAAGAAGGCCGAAGAACAAATTTCTATATTGGCGGATAATAAATCTTATGATAGAAAAGAAGATACAACAATTATTCAATTACCAGAACATTCAAATTTTGAACAAATGGTACAACAACCAAAACCCATTGCAAAAATTAATACAATAATCGATGACATACCGGATAGTCAAGTTTTTATACCTGTGGAAGACGAACCAAAAGATTCTAAAGAAAATACTATATCAATCAACGAAATATCAAATGATCAAGTTTCTATATCAATGGAAGAACATTCGAAATCCATTATAGACAATAGTACAACATCTAGTCACATATCGGAAAGTCAAATTTCCATCTCTATGGAAGAAGAATCAAAAAATTCTAAAGAAAATGATATAATAACTAATACAATGCGAAGTGATCAAGGTTCTATATCAATGGAAGCACAACCAATAACTTCGGAAGAAAATGATACCGTGAATAGTGAATTACCAAAAGACCAAATTCCTATATCAACAGAAGAACATCCGAAATCCATCATAGAAGATACTATCACGTCTATTCACATACAGAAAACCCATATTGTCATACCAAGAGAACAACAATTAGAAACTTCTGAAGAAAATAATGAAGTTAAAAATGAGATATCACAAGATCAAATTTCTGTATCAACGGAAGAACATTCAAAATCTATTACAGAAAATAATACAACATATATTCACATACTGGAAAGTGAAATCGTTATACCAACAGAACAACAATTAGAAACTTCTCAAGAAAATAATATAGTAAACAATGAAATATCGAAAGATCAAGTTTCTATGTTACCGGAAGAACATCCAAAATCCATGACAGAAGTTACTATCACATTTGATCATATACCGGCAAGTCAAGGTTTCATATTAATAGGACAACAACCGATAATTTCTGAAGAGAATGATAATTCTCAAGAATACAATTCAACAATTAACGCCACAGATGAAGTACAACAAAATCCTGTTGAAGAGATTAATATTAATGGTAAATTAATTGTTTTAATGAAAATTCTCCTAAAATATTTTTCTTTTATATTTTAGAAGAATTAAAAATAGATGAAAAATTTTCAATGATGCCAAAATCTCCAGAATTCGAGGTAGTTACATGATTTCAATTTAAATATTTTCTTTTTTTTTCATAATTTCTTTTATAGCCTATTGTTGACTCAATCAATATCGGACAAACTTCGCCATCTAAAATTGAATCAGTAAAATCAATACCTCTGCCAATCTTAGGTAATGAATTTTTCTTCTGATGTTTTTTTTTCTAAATTCTATTATCATTTTATTTTTTTAGAAATATCTAAGAAATCTTTATTAAAACCTTTTCAAATTTCAATTATTAATCGTCTTCTTAATACATTAATAAATCTGCCTGTAAAACCTCTTAGTCTTCCAATGCCATATCCATTACGAAAGCGAAAACGAAAGACCGTTCTTAATAAGCCACGTGTTATTCGTCCTCAACAAATATCAAAGCAAATATCTCGTTCATCAAATCGTATGCAAACTCGATCATTAAATTCTATTCGAACATGTATTGCACGTTGTAATCAACCAACACCAGTAAATCGAAAACGAACAGCTACTGAATTAATATCATCATTACCACCAATACCAAAACGAATGAAATCTACAAGAATAGAACAACAAAAATACCATAATGAATATGAACTAATTATTAAATTTCTTAATTCATTTTCAAAAGAAATTAATGATGATTTAAGAAAATTTCTTCAACAAAAATTACATGAAGATATTTTATTATTTAATGATAATATATATCGAATTTTTAGTGATTTAATGATTTATAAATGTGATATTATACTTCCACTAGTCAAAAATCTTCATGCGTATGAAGAATCTATTAAATTATTATTAGTATATATTCATAGTCAATCATCAGTATTTCAACAATATTTTATTACAAAATTACAACAAGCATTTGAATTTGAAATCAAACAACAACAGATATCCAATAATCGAATTAAAGTTTTGAAGTAAGTCCTAAACAATAAATAAATCTAACCACTTATGCTATGAGTTAAAGTCTAACGAAATTTATCAAAACCTATAATCATTCATCGACTAGTTGCTTTTGTTAATGTTCTATTTAGTTTCTGATTTAGTATATGTTATATTGCATACAAAATTTCTCTCATAGAGAGGTCTTAAATACACTCCATCATATACTGAAAGTTACAGTTAGAATGAATTCTTCCTGTCTGAGATAAGACAAATCATTAGAGGTTTAGTTCAGTCTCAGCAGACTTGAACTAATGATACAAACCTTATGTCAAATACTTTTCATCAGCTGAAGAGGTTCCCACATAAGAGTCGCATAGATTAATATTCAATAATTTTCGATACTCACAACTAAATTTTCAATAGAATTCTTCGAACATTTTCATTCATTATTCTAGCAACTTGTTATTCCCTCAAGATTCATAGTCGATCATCATGTCGACTTACGTGTCAAAGGAAAATACTCTTTTGATTTTGTCTTAAATTTTCTGTTCAAAATAGATCCTCGATATGTCAGAAAATAAAACGTCTAAAAAAACAATTTCGAGGTTTAAAAAAACAGAATGTTTTTGTTTTCAAGTTACATACGCAAATAAAAAATCTATTTAATCTGTATTGAATCTAATCACGTCTTCTGATTTGTGGCTATATTTAGCCAACAAAAATAATTTAATCACATGCCACAAAAAAGTTTAGAACGAACAAACCTCCAATAATTTTTGTACTTGGTAAAAAGCAGAACGAATTATTCTATATTTTATCGTTTTTCGTATGTCTTTTATTTTTTTTTTTATTTATTTATTTATTCTTCATATTTGTACTCATTAATTTTTTATTTATTTATTTTTAGTCGATTATTCTTTCTCACGTGCTCGATATTTTCAACATCATCAATAATTATTTATGCTTGGTTATTTGATATAGGTTATTATTTATCACATGATATTCTTATTGATGCATTAACATTTATTTCAAATGTATGTTCATCATTAATTTCAACTGATTCACAAACAAGTTCATCAAATATTTTACTTCATCAAATTTTATTTGATATATTACAAGATAATAAATTTCATATATCATATGAATATTTAGAAAATCTTCTCATTGCTTATCATAAATATACACATGATCAAGAAGATTTAATACGTTGTTTTATATTAATATCTCGATCTCAATCATGGTTATGGTGTTCAAATGAATTATGTATGAAATTTTTAATTCCTTTATTAAATAAAATTGATGACCAACATCAACAACGTATAATTATTTTAACAATTTTACAATATATCGTATTTATATATAAAGATAATGAAGATTTTAAACGAGATATTGCATTTCATAATCAAATCAAACAATCACTTCTTTCATTAAAGACAGTAGATAGTCATGAATGTACTGTACGCGATAAACTTTTTTTCATTCTTCATACTTGTTATTAAATAAATAAAAGCAGCAAGACGAATAACATTAAAATCTATTAGATATTTTATTTATCAAATTTAAAGAATATTATGTGATGCACAAAATCTTTCTTTGTTTATCGTTTGATATTGAATTGAAAACAGAACAAAACAAGATCATATGTTTTTTATTATGAAAGTAAAAGTTCTTGTTTCTGAATGATAATCATTTTCTAGTTGAATTGAAATGTGTTGAAACAGCAGAAAAAATATTTATCAATAATTCATTATGCGTGATCGTATTTTCATTTTAATATAAAGAAAAACAAAAGCTTCGTTGTTTCGAAACGATTTGATTTAATAAATTTACGAAATTAATATTTCAATGTAACCAATAGATTGTAGTACACTTCAAAAATCTGAATTAGACACTACCATGAATGTCGCTGTAATTAGTCATAAGTTTTTAACTGATGGCATGCTTTGTTATTTCTCCTAATGTTTTGTTCAATTAAAAAATTATATTTAAACTAATCAAGATTTTGTATCTGCAAACAAAAGAATAGATATGTTAATGTCGTGACGAAGCCAGAAGAATTTGTATATGGGACTGAACCTTCGTTTGAAGCTGAAAAGCAAGTATTTATTTCGTCTGTAATATAGTATTGTCTGATTTTTAGAGAAAGCTCAAAAGTTTCTGGAGAATAGAGTCTGTCGGATCTAAAATTTTCGAGTCAAGATCCGGTCGAATCGTACTTTGATTTTCTCAATCAAATTTTCTGATCGGCGATAGATGGTCGCCTTCAAGATACGACATAGTTTTTACCGTTTTTTTTCTATTCAATGACTAGTGTAACCTATACACTTGTTAGACCACTAGAGCCTATGAGATTCAAAACCAACCCCACGAACTCTATTGTAAGAGACTGAGTTAATACATGGCTCCACTACTATTCTAATGCATCAGAAAAAGTTTCTTCAAACATTAATGAAAAAATTTTGTGCGCGACTTGCTAAATCAAATTATCACAATTTGTAGTGTTCATAATTATTTAATTCTACTGAATTTGTTATCATTAAATCAATCGACATTGTCATAGTTGTATGTGTAATTTCAAACAAGACTTTACGGTTAATAAGTAAAAGCTAAATAATGAACCGCAACCAAAGACAAAATGACATACGATTATGTGGGCATTTAAATTCTATATTCGCGGAATGTCAATGGATAATAAATATTTATCGCAGTCGAAATTATTTTAGTGACTGAAAAACAATCTTTAGATTTTGTTAGAAAATTTTGAAGCAGAGAGAGGAGGGGGTGTTGGCAAAGCTATTTTTCTCTCTTCCCCAATATTTTATCTATCTCTTATTCTCTCTCTCTCTCTCTATCAAAATAGGTGTGTCTAATGGGGTTATAGCCCTTTTCATTTCGCTTGAATTAACCAGATGTTGATCTTCACACAATTAGTTTTGTATTATTCAAACATCGACTGATAATTTCTTGTCTCCTTGTTTTTTCCTTATCTAAAAGAGTCTATATAAGGACAAAAGTTTCAATGTATAGATGTTCATTTTAAAATTCTATTATTCATTTTGTTATCTCTTTTAGTCAATTAACAAATCAACAGGGAAGAGATTTGACGGGTTGCCACAAGGCTTAATGGTGGAAGTTTATACGGAGCCCGTTTCGAATATATTTCAATTGACGAAAGGTGATCTTAAGTATCGTACATTTGTATGTCAACGTATCCAATTTGATATATTATATTTATTAATTGATTTAAATAATTAAAATGAAAAAAAATACACTTCAAGAAACACAACGTATACTTGATCTTATTGCAAAACGTGATCTTGACGATGATGGTAAGAATTAATAATCCTATTGAAAATTAATTTTACAAAATTGTTTGTTTTTATATACATAGAAAAGAAGCAATTAATCAACGAAACTGTTGATAATTTCAATGATTATATTAATCCAGGTTTCTTACAATATCGAAAATCATTTTCACCTGATTACGTTGCAGGTAAATTTATTATATAAAGATTTTTATTTGAAAACTAATCTTTCTTTGTTTTTAGTCGAATGGGCAGATAGTGGTTCAACATTTACATGTGTTAAAGGCATTGAATATATCGATTGTTTAGGTGGATATGGTATTTATAAGTAAGAGAAACAAAAAACAAAACAGAACTTTATAATTATATTTATTTTAATAATTGACTTGTTTTATTTCTTTTTTTTAGTGTTGGTCATCGTCATCCAAAAGTATTAAAAGCAGTTACTGATCAATTACAACGTCAAGCATTACATTCACAAGAATTACTTGATCCACTACGAGGTTATTTAGCGAAAATTTTAGCTGAATTACTTCCGGGAAATTTAAAATATGCGTTTTTTACAAATAGTGGCACTGAATCAGTTGAGGGTGCATTAAAAATGGCTATTCTGGCAACTGGTCGTCGTACAATGATTGCTGCTATAGGAGCTTTTCATGGAAAAAGTTTAGGTTCATTAAGTGCAACTTCAAAGTAAGAAACGAATATCAAATTTTTAGAAAAAGCATTGAAATATTGATTATTTATATTTTTTTGTAGAGCTGTTTTTCGAAAACCATTTTTACCATCATTACATCATATGCGTCATATACCATTTAATGATTTACATGCACTTGAACAAGTATTATCTAGTTTACAATTTACGGGTGATGATGCTGGTATGATTTTTCTAATATAGATTTTTAATTATATTATTATTTGAAAATTTTCTTTAGCTGCTGTTTTACTTGAGCCAATACTTGGTGAAGGTGGAGTTATTCTTGCAAATGATGATTATTTTCCGGGTGTTCGTCGTTTATGTGATAAATATGGTGCTTTATTAATAGTTGATGAAGTTCAAACTGGTATGGGACGAACAGGAACAATGTTTTGTATTGAACATTGGAATGTTGAACCAGATGTTATATGTTTGGGTAAAGCATTTGGTGGTGGTATTATTCCAGCAGGTAAATCAATCTATTATATATTTACAAAGTTCCAAAAATTAGTCACGATAGTTAATATAAATATCTGTATCTATAAATATTAGAACAAGAATAGTTTTATTGATGGTCAAATTTGAGTCAGCTATGACTATGAAAAGAAATCTGCAAGTTGAGTTTGGTAAAAATATCATTAAGTGAAGATTGTATTAAAGTTAAATTCCAAAATTTTTTTGAAATTGGTACAGTAAAAGATCGAGAACATTCTGGTAGACTGTCAAAAATTACTGAATAAAAGTTCCATGAAGTTCATGCTGTTTCAAAAAATGAACCACAATCATGTGTTTCAGTTGTCGTAACGATCAGCTTCATTCCACGAACAACAGTTCACCGAATTCTGACTAAATAGTTTTCATTGAAACCTTACGAGAAGCAATTTTTCGTGCAATTGAAACTGGTTGTTCCGGCAGTTCGAACACTTAATTGCGGTTGAATTTCACAAACATCATGAACGTCATCGATTTTTTTCTTCTGTAAATTTTCACGGTCTACCAAAACATTCGCAATCTTGCATTTTATTAGTTTCACAAAATCACTCACATATAACACTAATACCATCTTCATTTGATTTATTCTTGTCAAATTTGACTTGCGGTTTTCATTTCACAATCATATGTAACTCGTATTTAGTCGTTAATAAAACTATTTTCATTCTAATGTTTATAAACATAGATATTTATCTGAATATTTACTTCAAACTTCCACGACGAACTTGTGAAATAGCCTGTATATTTTTATTGCTAATCTTTACTTGTTATTCTTTTTGTCTAGGTGCTTTTATTGGAACAGAAAAATTATGGAAACCAATATTCAATAATCCATTTTTACATACCACAACATTTGGTGGTAATCCATTAGCATGTGCAGCAGCAATAGCAACAATAAATGTTTTACTTGAAGAACATCTATGTGAACGTGCACGAACTGTTGGTGATATATTTTTAAGTAAACTTAAATCAAGTATTAAACCATATACACCACATATAGCACTTGATGCACGTGGAAAAGGTTTAATGATTGCATTAGAATTTGTTGATACAGATGTTGGTTTTCGTGTTTCAAAAGGTTTATTTCGAGAAAAAATTATTGTTGCTGGTACATTAATTAATGCAAAAACAATTCGTATTGAACCACCATTAACAATAACATTAGAACAAATTGATCAAGTTATTAATGCTTTAGATAAAGTATTAAAAGAAATTTCAAATGACATAAAACCTCCATTACCAATTAATGATTCAAGTACTAAAACAACGACAATGAATACTCTTCAACGTACTGTACTTTCACAGCAATTGTGAATTAATAAATGATTCTATTTTCTTGTTTTCTTTTTTCGTTTTTTTTTTTTGATTGGTGATAAAGAGAATTGTCAACGATGTTAATCAGACTTTTCTTTTTTTTGGATTAACAATAAATTTCACTTTAAAAAGTTACACATATATAGATTTTTTTTGTTTGATGATAAATAAAGAATCAATATAAAAAAGTATGTTCCTTGAAATTAAGAGAAGATAGAAGCGAAACGTATGATTCCAAAAAATTGAATGAAGGTCTTAAGAGACAAAACAGTATAACCTAAGTTACAAAAATAATTGCCGAAATCTCAATCTATGGTTTTTCGTTTAGAAACATCGTAGAAGGCTCAATATTTTTCGTGTTGCAAGAAAAAAGTGCGAGCTTAAAAAAAGCATACGCTTTATTTACTGTTAAAGAACTCCTGAAAAACTTTCTAAAGTATGAAAATCGATAAAGTTTTGTAAGGACGACTTTCTTATCTGCTTAATTTTCAAGAAAAAGTTTTTCTTCAGACTTTAGAAAAAAATAGCATGTTGCAAGAACTCTCCTGACAATGTTTCATATCGTACGTTTTTTCTCACTCAGAATGAATCCCAGAAAATTTATTTCGTATGTTTTTTTTTAAAGTTCTGACTGTGCTCTTTCAATAGGAAACAGAATGAATTTTCTATGATGTTCCCCTAAGCGAGAAAATCATAGGTCAAGGTTTGTGCAATTATTTTTGCATCATGGGTTATATACTGCATGATCTAGTATTATTTATTTTGTTTTAAAAACAAATTCATAAGTAAAATTATTACGTTTATATTAATATTTTTAACGGGTTTTGAAATTTTTATGCTTATCACTGGAATGGAAAAGCTTTCATTTTTTATGCCGTATTTTGGTTACAAATTTACATTGAAGATAACATGGAGAATAAACAATAAAATAAATTTTTCAATTTGACTATATTAAAATTGTAATTATAAGCAGTATCAGTTATTTTCTCTTATCGTTTCTGTCTCGTCCGTTATTTACTATTCAAAATATACACATTAGAGGAAAGAAAACATATATTGTCCATATGCAGAATAAATTTATCTGTTTTTACATATTCAGATAAATTCTAACAATATAATTCTAGTGTGATGTTATTCATAGAATCTAAAGTATTAAATAGATGAAGTATTGTTTCAAGAAAATTCTGTATTGTATTGATATATAATTAACATGTATCGTAGTTCTGTCTCTAGATTTATTGATCAATGAATCCATTTGAAGAATTAATTGCTGAAACAATTAGCAATGAAATAACAAGATCACAAAGTTTTGGTAAGATTTTTTACTAATACATTAATATATTATTTTTATTTATTCTATGAAGATCTTTCTAATTCTGGATCGTCTTTATTTCAACAAAATGCACAAATATCAAGTGTATCAAGTGCCATCGGATATAATCCTGCTCATATGGCTGACTTTTTAGGACATCGTACATTGAATAATAAACCTGCACAAAAATTAGAAACGATCTATGAAAATTTACCATCATCGAAACAAAATGTATGAATACAAATCATAAAAACGACTTTTTTTTTTTGAATATATTTTATTCTTTTTATTTTAGATACCACCAAGTAAAGAACAACAAAAATCCGATAAAAAAAATCTATCAATGCATGGTTCTGTAAGTTCATGGAGTAAGTTGTTAATTATAAATTTTGTGAAGAGTTTGTAATCTATTATTTTGACTTTTAGATTTATAATGAATACTTTGTTTTGTAGCATTTACTTGCTGTTTTCAGAACCAATGAACTTTTTTTTCTCATTTTGTATGTCTAATAAATATGAAATTACTTGCTCTATTGATATTTGAATTGATTGTAGTTATAAATTCACAAAAAACTAGATACAATCATTCAAAAATATAATAACAATCAGAACTGCTAACTTAGCTCTAATGTTTTGTAAGGCAAATGTTCATGTATTTCCTTATTATTTGAGAGTAGTTCGATAAATTCATTCGATTCTAACAACAAATGCTTTAAGTGAACATCAGTTGAGTATTGTGGAAAAAAATTAAGTAAACGGCTGAAACTAGACTGGTACATTAAGGTCGATTTATAGAATTGAATGTATTTGAACAATTAGAAACAACAGCCAGCCTGATGCAGTCTGCAGACTTTTCGAGCTGGACTCGGCCAGAAAGAAAAAAAAGGGCCGTTAGTAATATGTTTGGCTTAGTTAAGAAGATAAAATCTAGACGTGAACTTATTTCATTGAACATCATATTGGCATATGTGAAATAATGAGTAGAAAAAGATGTACAAAATATTATTCACATCATAGTGAATTTTTTTGCAAAATTGTCTTTTTTATTGATTATAATTGTCATTGACAACTTGGTTCATAATCTAGTGTCATCTATTGATGAAAATTCTCTATTTCCTGCTATTTAAATAAGAACGAAAGGATAAGAAAAGTAGAATTTAATAAAAAAAAAAACTAATACAATCTATTGAATTATTTATATGCTATCAAGAGAAGAGCTAGAGACTTAGTCAATTTAACTATGGCAAGACGTGGCTATGTTGGCGAGATATTTTCAAATATTTTCTCTGCTTTATTTTCGTTTTTGTTTCCTTGAGAAAGATCAGCCTGTTTTTTCTTTAATTTGAAATTGTAATTGATTTTGAAAAATTTGACTTACTTTTGATTCGATGTGTTTGGAATGATAATCAATGAAGTACTTTTTATTAAATATCATTTTCAGATTTTATTTTCTAAAAAAAGAAAAAAAAGAGGAGAATGTCTAATCAACGATTAACATCACGCGATGAAGACTTACTACTTCAAGATTTTAGTCGAAATGTAACGACTAAATCATGGGCTTTATTTATTGGCAATGCTGCTGTTGTTTCGGCTATTCCACTTTGTAAGTTATTTGGAAAAAAGAATAGTTTTTCTTTGAGAATGAATCTTTTATATGAACACTTTTGTTTAATAATTAGGGCTCTTCTGGCGCATTCATCAAATGGATATTACATCTTATTTCATTCATTTTATTATTGGTACAGCAATAAGTACATATTTCCTTAATTCTGCTTATCAAAACATGAAATTTATTTTAAAACATAAGTAAATATTTTTCTATGAATTGAACATAATAACAAAGAAACTTGTTTTTCTTTTTCTTAGAATAGCACAAAAACGTGAAGAAGCTATTAATCGAGAAATAACGAAATTATTTGCTAATGATAAAAATGCTAATAAAAAAGATAAAGATGATCGGTAAGAAGAAGAAATTTTCATGTATATTTTTATTGAATTAATTTTTTTGAAATTATTATTTTAATAGAGTTTTAACACGTAAAAATGAAGTAGCAGATTTTGAAGCAACAACATTTTCAATTTTTTACAATAATACATTCTATCTTGTTTGTCTTATTGTATTATCATTTTTTGTATTTAAAAATTTTTCACCAACAGTTAATTATCTTTTTTCTGTTGGTTTATCAACTGCTATTGTTTTTCTTTTTTCAACTGGAGAAAAATAAATATATTTCAAAAAAATAAATAAATAAAACAATTTATAAATTTCAAAGACACACACACATCTTTTTTGTTGTTATTGTTCTTCGTTGTTTTTTTTTTTCTTTTTCGAAACCAGTTTTATTGTTATTTGTGTAATTATATCTAACGTTCTTGATGATTTTGTCTTCTATTGTTTTTGTTGTTCATTATTTATTTTAACAATAATCATGATTAGTTAAGACTTGGTGAAGAGAATTAAAAAAAAAGACACTTAGATGTATGATCATAAAATTGAGAATTAATCAGTAATTTCAAATAAACATTTTATGTGTGAAACTTAGCAGAATATATTAGAAGATTAAATTTATCAATCGTGATAAGATGAACGAAATTATGAAAGATTAGTATTGTTTTCAATCTGAAACAGGCATACATCAAGCCTAAACTTTCGAATTTCGATTCAATCTGATGTGGAAAAACAGTTTGGTATCAATAAACGTATTCTTATGAATGTTTCCTTATGTCATTCTTTTGGCTTATATATATATATATATACCAAGAGATTTCCCCTTCTGTATATTATATCTGTTTTTGGATCATCAAATACATCGATATAATGTGTTGTTTAATACAAATGCAAGGAATTTGGCCCAAACATCGCGAACTGTAGTTTGAATTCGTTGTATGCTGATTTCAAAACAGTTGAATATTCTATTATGACTAATAGAAGTGAAAATATCAGCTATTTCCTTCATAAAATAAAGAAGATTCCGGGAAAATCATGCATAAAAAAAAGTGATAGATTGCGATTCAGTGAAACTTTTTTCAGTTTAATGAGTGGTGCTGATTAAACTGGGAATAATCATTTTTCTTGTTTTCTTTGAGACATATTTAAATACACTTTCAGAAATTTATACTGTACGTATTCGATAGGAAATTCTCCGCTCTATAAAACTACTTTTTGTTTTGTTTTTCAAACAACTTTTTCTTGTGGATAGAAAGTTTCAAAAGGCTAACATCTACTTAATCATGTAACTGCCACAAAAAGCAAAAAATGATCTAAACTTTTGAATGAAAATTTCGAACATGCCGCTCAGTACTCCGCAAAATTCTTCATGTTTATGTGTATGGTTTAGGAGTTTACAAAAAGCTATTTGCGACAAGAAAAAACTTAATGTAAAAAATGTGAAAATACTTTTAAGAAAACGACTGTTCTGACAGGATTATGCGATGATTATTTTGTAGTTCAACATGCGTGAATTAGTTTTTTTACTCTTTAATTTAACAGCTACACTATTTTGTTCAGAATTAAATTCTATATCCGACAGCCTAAGAATGAACGTTTGATACAGTAGGTCTTGATTCGAAAAACATGACTTTCCAATATTCATAAGCAAACATTTACACAAATCGTTGAATATTTGCAGAAAAAATCGGAATTACATTTCAACAATACAATAGGTCTTTATCTTTTGAATTCTGCTGCAATAAGAAAAGGTTATTTGTTATAACATACGTCTACTTTACTATTATGTCCATGTCTTCGATAGAACGTTGCAAGATCTGATATAACAATAAGAACAACAAGAACGTGAAAACAAACGAGATAAAATCTTAATACATTTTTTATAGCAATTTAAAAACCAAGTTCAGATCATTGCTATTCTTATTATGATCTTTTTTTGTCTTACCTTTTTTACAAATCATGTATTTGTCTATGTATTGTATGACAAATGTTTTACTTTGAATAAAATAATGACTAAGATATTTGTACTGAATGCTTTAGTAAACTTATTATACATAATTATTTAATTATGTATTCGACTTACTCTCACCTTCTATGTTTGAATCTTATTCAATAACATAATATATGTAGATTTCAGCTTAACTAATATTTATCGATTCAACATAAAGAAATAATATTTACTCAACTATTACTGAGCCTTGAATTTTGGAAGTTAATAGATGTACTCGATGTTTTAATTATGTTGAATTATTAGTTTGGTCTAAATATTTGTTTAGCGCACGCATGTATGTCAAAGATATAAAAGTATCTAGAAAAGAAGAAAAAAGAAGAAGAGAATGAACATCATTTCTTGCCACAATAAAATTAAGTCAAACACTACAAACATTCGATATGAAATCAATGAACAGAATTTTACCGATCATTTTAATTCTATTAGTATTGTCCTTTAGTAGTAAGAATGAATCATAAGAGAAAAGAAAATCTTATATAGCTATATTTTTCTTTTAAAGTAACTCATGCTGCTTTAATATGCTATTCATGTAATAATTGTGGAATGACATGGGATGCATCAAAGGCTACTATAATTCAAACATCAGGTGCTAATGACTATTGTCGGGTAAATATAAATTCTATGGTAAATAATGAAATCATTCTTTTTTTTTTCTAAAAATATAGAAAACAGTAACGGGAACAAGTGTTAACAAAGATTTTTCGTCTACGTGTACACCTGTTGATGTTCTTGGTAATGGAGTTTTTTGCTGTCAATCGGATTTGTGTAATTCAGCAAATAAACGATCAATAACAATGATCCATCTTGAAATTTTGATCACATTTATATGGATAATTTATCACTACTTGTATTAGATTTCAAATTCTATTGTACTGAAAAAAAACACCAAAATCAAAATTATTGTTAAAAAATAAATAAATAAACTGGGGTTTTTATAATGAATGAAAATAATTATAAATATTGATAAGCCTTTTACTAAAACAATCGCGATTTAGTGTAAGGTGGCTTTTGTAGGATTCGTTGAAAGTGCTTTTGATTTTTCTTCTGCATTAATAATTATGCGTGAAGAGAAAAAGAGAGATGAAAAATGAACAAGTCATGATAATTCTACAGAAGGAATAATCATTAGTAGTATTAACATCTATATCATATTTATTAGAAATCATTTTTGACAAGAAATTAGGTTTTAAAAAGAAAATAGGACACCTTTAGGATATCATAGAAGTAGAAAAAAATTTCGTTCTTCTATTGAATGAATTGATATATCAGGTGCTCCACAATGAATAGGTTGTCTTTTATTCATAATTTTATTGTGCCTAGTCTTCATGATATATTTTGGTTTCCTTATAAGAAAATGTACTCGTAAATTTCTACAAAAGTGCATAAAAGATAAATGTCCAGACTTTAGAATAACAAGTGTTATGTAATGGAAAATGAAGATTTAAAAAGTATCGTAATTTCGAAGTAACAAGTGGTCTCAATATTTCATTGACATCTTTGTTAATTGTATCGTTTAGTCTTAAACGTTTTCGTCAAACGTTTCATCATGAAGTTGTGTATAAATGGTATTAACTACAATATTCACTTTATTCTGAGCTAAACGTTTCATTGTTATATCATTGCGGCTTAGAAAATAGCTTTAGGACCCTTATTGTAAAGCAATTGGTTTCAGATTATTATTCATGAATAATTTATAGTTCTAATAAATAGTTGAAAATGAACTGGAGAAAGCCACAGTGTGCACAATGTCAAGTGGGATTTTCTTGAAGATAAAGTTTAAGACTAAATAACATGATTAACAAAGATGTCAACAAAATACTGAGAGCATCTGTTACTTAGAAACTACAATACTTTTCAGAACTTGTTATTCTAAGATTTTCTTGTAAAAAGACTAAAATAATATATTATGAAGACTACATACAATAAAACTACGAATAGTAAACTACCTACTCATTCTGAAGTATCTAATGCTTTGATAATTTTCTTTTTATTTCTATTTTTAAGTTAAACCGTTGGAATAATGTGAAATTTTGAATATGATTGATAAATTATTCTTTTATAAAACAATAGACAATTCATAGCTAGATTCTTTCAAAAATAAATCCAAACCTTTTAAGAACATGATTTTCTCTGAGGTAAAAGTTTAATTCTTGTATTTCTCTTCAGATAACATTTGCTGAGAAAAACTTCGAAGTATACTCTCTATTGACATATTAATATTGTATCAGTATACAAAAAGATTCCATTTCATGATTGATCAAAATATTCTTGGTTTATTTAATTCAATGATGCATTCATCGTATTCATGAATTATTTTTTGTATCACATTCCGAAGTAGATTTTTAATACCTAAATTAACTCCACAAAAAAAAAAAAAAAAAATTTGCCGCATAACACATTTTACTTAATAACAGTTTGAAGATGTGATATAGTAGTGGAAATATGAGAAAATAATTATATTGTTCTTAATGGAATTGCTTTTTTTTCGAGGAAGCAAAAATATTTTATTAGGAAATGCTGTTCTATCTGCCTTTTAGATTGATATTTGAGTAGAACTAAAAAAAGAGACCTAATAAAAGCAAATGTCTGTTATTTGTGTGTCAAAAGTTCAGTTTATGTCTGGAGTCGAGAAAACAACGTTGATGGTATTGCAAGCATTGTATTATGCATTGAAAATTTTTTTTCTTTCGATCTTATTAACTGTATATTAATATTTTTATTTCTTAGTATTGAATGATTATGAGGAATTTTAGTTTGTACAATCTATTGTTTTTATAATTGGAATTAAAATGTTAATTTATTGATTTTTAAATGGTTTTCATTCTATATTATTCTTAACGAGAAACTTTTCGTTTTTTTTTTCTATTTCATCAATGTTAATATCGGGTACTCGGAAAATAAATAATACCTAAGTTTTGTACTACAATGAACAGTAACTGCAAATAAAAGTTGATTGATTTTAATGTTATTCAATATTTAAATGTAGTCATGTTTAACTTGATAATTTATGATTCATATGTGATATTTTTATCGTCAATGAAAAGATTTATAACAAAATGTTGAGCGAAAGAGAGAAAAAGGTATATTAAAAAAAATATTTTCCGTAATTACAATTGCGTTCTCCTCAAAAACACTAAGTATAATTGTCATCAGCACATTAATAAATTTCTGCCGGAACTTAACGTGATATGAAAATTTTTCTCAGCTTTTTCTTTTGTGCTACCAGTAAGATTTTATTTTCTGATATCAAACCATTATTATATCTT